TGTCCTCTTCTGTAAAATGGGGTAGCTCTGACCTCATCAGGTCTTTCTGAGAGTGAAATGAGATGACGGACTTGAGAGGGCTCAAAGCTCTACCTCACCCTGAGGGTCCTTTCCTGGGAGGCCCATTCTCTATCTGGAAGGGGCCATGATGTTAGAATTGGGGACTTCTAGGGCTGCGGACTTCTGATGGGCCATGGTTCTGGGATTCCATGATGATCCTAAGGTTCTGTTCATGGAGTTGGGCATCCCCTCCCCTCGGCGTGGCCCTAGGTTGCGCCTCCATTATTAACAAGCACAATAAAGGGTGTGCGCTGTCCCGCCCCAGCCTGGCAAGATGAGCCCCAGCCCCAGCTGAGTCCCCAAGGTGGCTCTGGCCTTTATTAAATGCCATAAATCAGTTACTCATCCATGTAGGCATCACAGCGCCGGCACTGTGCTGGGCGTATAGGGACGTTCCCTGCTGGCCCCCGCTGCAGACCGTGGGCAGTTCTGCTGAACCGGAGGCTGGCTGGCTACCTGGAAAACCACTGGGTCCATCCCCGTCATGTTCAGGTGGGGAACCTAAGGCCCAGAAAGGGGCAGGACTCACCCGTGGCCACCCAACCACTTCGTACCAAAAAGTCATCCCGAGGACAGTCTGAGGAGACTGGGGCTCAGAGAGGTTACGCAGCCTTCCCGGAGTCACACAGTGAAACGCAGACAGCTCTAGGACAGCTCGAACTTCTGGCTTTGGTTCGAGCCGGGCTGACTGTCTCATGCCGTCTACAGAGCCACCGCCTCTTCCCAGAGAGTGAACTCCCTGTCACGGGGTGGCTCAAGCAGAAGATGGGTGCCTGCCCATCGGGAGGCTGCCTGGGACTTAGGGGTGGCCTGAACACCTGCCTGTCACCTCGGTTTCTTGAAGTCGGGGCTGGGATTCGGGGGAGCCTGGCCGGGGCCTTGTGGTCTCTGGAGAGGGTGTGAGTGAGACCCAGGCGGTCAGGGCTGGATGACAAGAGCCAGGGAGGGGCTTCGGGGCTGTTGCTGCCCAGGAGGGCTCCCTGGTGAGTGAGAGACACGTGGAGCCAGGGCATTTGGCGTAAGTCATTACCAGGAGCGGGTCCCACCCCTCTCTGAGCCCCGGTTCCCCATCTATACGGTAGAAGAGTGCACTCCGTGACCTTCCAGGTGGTAGATTTTCCTCTGGAATCAGAGGGCGAGGGCCAGGGAAGAGCCGGAAACAGGTGCCTTAACAAGTTTATACCCTTTAGCCCTGTAACTCTCTTTGTAGGAGTCTACCCTAAGTAAATAATTACCAGTACAGAAAGATATGTGCAAAATTTTCTTTTTTGTGTTAATTTATAATAGTGAATAATTGGAAATGATTAATTGCCATTAGTGGGATGTTGGCTACATATGGTGCATTAATTCAACAGAAGACTACGGGGCTGTTGAAAATCACATTTCCTCGGATTTGTACTGACCTCAGTAAATGCCTGTGTTAATTAGAAGAGAATTGATTACTTATCACATGCCCCCCAACCCCAAATTCATCCTCAGGAAATCCTTTGAAGGGCATTTGATCAATTCTAAGGCCCCTTATTTTCACATTCTAGCACTGAAATAGAAATGAGTGTCACAATTGATGGCATTTTAGGATCAGTGGAGCCTGTCACCTCCACGGGGACCTACAAGCCAGTAAGAGACAGAGTGGGCGTTTGAATACGAGTGTACTTCCCTCCAAAGCCAAACTCTGACTACTATGCTATACCAGCGGGTCCCGGCTTTGCTGTTTATGCAAATCTATAAGCATAGGCGGGAACCCGCTGCAAGAAAAGTCAGCCTCGTCTGGGAAATGTTTATGTCTGGGCAGTAGAACTACGGAGATTGTTGTTCTCTCCTTTATGCGCTTGGCATGCCCAGGCTCCACCACGAGCCCTCGACAGGCCTGGCTGATGATGGAGAGACAATAGCATCATTGCGGAGTGGGCAAGGGCCTGCCCCTGAGCCTGGCCAGCCCGAGGCAAGGCCCTGGCTCCTGGTGGAGGTCTGACCCCGGCCCACTCTCCTCCTGCAGGTACCTCTACAACCGCTTGGGCTACTGGAGTGACTGGTCCGTGCCCATCCTCATGACCGCAGCCACCGCCTTCACCTACATCGCGGGCCTCCTGGTACGCGGGGCTGGCCCTGCTCTGGGGAGGGGCGGCGTGGCCTGTGCAGGGCTGATGGAGGGGCCTGCCCAGGCTGAGGAGGGAAGCTGGCTTTCCCCTTCTCTCGGCTGCTGCACCTCAGGGGCTTGGCTCCTTCAAGGTGGGAGGTCGCCTTGCTTCTACCCCATCCTGCAGTGCCCCCCCCCACCACCACCACCTGGGGGGAGGCGTCTGCTCTTAGGAGCCGCTGCAGACTTCCTCTTCCTGGAACTTCTGCTTTGGTTCCTGCGCCCAGAGCCCTATTCCCTCAGACTCCGGTCAATCCCTTTGTTGGATGGGGGGCTCCTTGGGGCCTGGAACTCCTACAACATGAACTGAGCAGCCCCAGGGCAGTGGGGCCCAGAGAGAAATCCTGGAGGAGGAGGAGGAGGAGCGGGAGGCCTGGAAGAATTTGGGAGGAGGCCAGGCGTGGGCCGGGCTGGGCATTCCCATCGCCTGTGGGGAGGGTTTGTTGACTTTTCTGAGCCAGACCCAGAGCTGAGTGCGGAGAAGTGTGTCTGGGAATTGGCGGGAGCCTGACGGCCGCCCTGTGGCCCCTCCTCAGGTCCTGGCGCTGTGTCACATCGCCGTGGGGCAGCAGATGAACCTGCACTGGCTGCACAAGGTAGGGGCTCCTCCGCGAGGTCCGAGGGGGGAGGAGGCCGGCGCATCGCCCCTCCTCGGGGTCCCGGTTACGATTGTTCCAGTAGCTCACACTCCGTACTCTCTCTGTGCCCAGCACTGTCCTCCCGGCCTGGCCTGTATTAACTCATTTAACTCTCACAGCAGCCCTATGTTGTAGGTACTGTTATCCTATTTTGCAGCTGGAAACACTGAGGTACAAAGCGGTTAAGTAAGTTGCCCAAGGTCTCCCACTTCGCCAGTGGAGGATCCAGGGTCCTCACCCCATAGTCGAGCAGGGAGCCAGCACGGGGTCCCACGGTTGGACTCCGTCTCGGGTCGCACCCTCTCCTCATTCCACAATGAGCTCATCCTGAAACCGACCCAGCATAGCGTCCTTTCCACCACTCCCATTGCTCCCAGGCGGACCCTCCCCCCCACCCGCCCAGCATGACGGCCCCCATGACTTGGCCCTGCTGAGGTCTCCCAACTGCGGTCGTGGGTCGCTCACCCCCAGCTCTGGATGAGACGTCTCGGGCCCTGCCAGCACGGCTGCCTCTCCTCTACTTGACCTCCTCGCTCTCGCCTCCCTCTGTCTCCCTCCGGCCCTTCCTTGGTTCTCCACACCCTGCCCAGGATGCTTGGACTCCCCAGCCCCTGCAGGGCCCGCCCACCACCACAGCCTGCAGGTCCGCGTTGTCCGGTTCCCTCTGGCGCCCTGACCCCGGCCCTCCCCAGTCTGGGAGCTTCTTGCAGACCAGGACTGGCTTTGCCCATCTGTCCCTAGCGCCTCACTGGGTGCTGGGCCCAGCGCAGGGAGGCTTCGGAGAATCAGAGCCTCGGCCTCTTGCTGCTCGTCGCCAGCACGGTGCTGAGTGGTTCTGCCTGACGCCTGCTCTTCTTGAGGCCCCAGGGGTCGCAGGGGTGGCACAAAACTGACTGAGAGAGAGCCCTTTCCTCGCAGGAGCACCTGGGCCGTGGAGGGAGGGCTCGGCCGTCTGTCTATTCCCAGAGCCTGGCTCAGAGTGGCCATGCCGTTTAGGAAGGGGCAGACATGTCTGGAAATAACCATGAGCCCATGGATGGGTCCAGAGTGACTCTGAGGGGAAGGGCTTCCTTCCCGCTAGAAGAGTGACGTGGAGCAGGAGCTGGGAGGAAGACATAGTGAGTCCGCATTGGGCTGCGTAGGGGGAGGTGCCTGAGGGCATCCAGGGGGGCCTTGGAGATCAGGAGCTGGGGAGCCAGACTGGGGACTGGGGTCTTGGAGGGTGAAGAGCAGCCAGCAGCCCCGGGGTCCCACCTCCGCCTGCTTGTCACTCTACCCGGAGGCCTCCTCTGGGCTTGGGAAGTCCCCTCTGTGCGGCACTTTTATCTCCCGGCTGCAAAGCTGACACTTGAAAGAACCGCACCAGATGGCACCGGGGTGGGGCTGGCTCACACCGCGGTCACCTCCTCTAGTCACGCCTGGTCCTCAGCAGGTCACACCTGCTCGGTCCTGGTGGAGAGGCCTCCGGCGGCGAGGAGCCGGCAGGGGCGCAGGTCACTGCGCGGATTCTTCTCCTGGGCGGGGGGTCAGATCCCTTCATCTGCACGGAACCAGCTCGGGTGCCAGCCCTGACTTCCTGCCCCTCTGCCCCCGCCCATGAGATCTCAGCATGAGGAAGGTTCAGCCGGAGCTGATGCACAGCTGGACCCATTGCACCAGGAGGGAGGCAGCTCCCTGGGGCTCAGAGTTTTCAAGTAGGTGCTGGACACCCTCCTGTTCTGTTTCCAATATTCTACGATTTGAGTAGGAGATGCTAAGGGAATCCTTGTCCTTTTTTTGTTTTAACCAATTTTTGACCATCTGATACATTGACATGGTTCAAAATTAGGTACAAAAAAGTACACAATGTAAGTCTCCCTACTATCTCTCCAAAGTATTGTAAGCATATACACATATTCATATACTAGTACACTTCCTTTTTCCTTTTCTTTACACACAAGCCTACTATACCCTCCATTTCATACGTTAACAAAACTCTCGGAGCTCCTTCCTCTCAGGCCATTGAGAGCTTCCATTGTTGTCCAGCCCCTGCTCCTGTCCCCGTGTTTAACCCTGAGTCCCAAGGTATCTAGTCGGCCCCCTGATGACATCCCAGTTGCTTTTTAAATATACGTTTATAATATATATATTTTTTTATAATATATATGTTTTTATTTCAGAGGGGAAGGGAAAGGGAGAGAGATATAGAAACATCAATGATGAGAGAGGACCATCGATCGGCTGCCTCCTGCACACCCCCTACTGGGGATTGAGCCCACAACCGGGGCATGTGCCCTGACCTAGAATGGAACCGTGACCTCCTGGTTCATGGGTCAATGCTCAACCACTGAACCACACTGGCCGGGCCCCAGTTGCTCTTAATTCATTGCCAGGACCATGTGATCTGGGTGGGGAATTCTAGAGTATGCTTTTGTGACTGTGATAGTTCTTGTCAAATCGCCTCCTTGCCAAGGGCCACCAGTCCATGCTCCCTCGGCAAGCTATGGTTTGCTTATCCAATCGCCCTTGCCCATGAAGTGTTCGAAGATGTCTCGGCTTGAGCCCACTAATGGGTGAGCCTAGCCCCTCGGTGTCATTTTGATTTGCATTTCCCAGATGATACGTTAGATTCAGCATCTCTCGTGTGCTTGAGTCACTTGCACGCTCTTTTCCGTAAGCTGTCTCTTCATATCTTTTGCCTTTTTGCTACAGGATTTGCTTTTTGCTTATTAATTTGCAGGAGTGCTTTATAGATTCCGAAAACCCGCCCTTTGGCTGATGAACTGCAATAATTCTTCCTCGTGTGTCCTTCTGCCTCTGACTTTGCTTGCTGTGGTTTTGCCGTGGGAATTTTTTACTCTTAAGGATGTGACTCTGTCTTCTCTTTTATGGCTCCTGGCTTTTGTGTCAGAGTCTTTCCCACCCCAAGATTATAACAATGTTCTCCGTGGCATTATTTGATAATTGCATGTTTCTACTTTTAATAACATTTAAAATTTTAACATTTTGGAAGTTACTTTCGGGTATAGGATGGTCTTTCTTCTTCTTAGATGGTTTCCCCGTTCCTATCTATTGAGAAATCTATCCTTTCCCTTCTAATTGGAGATGCCACTTTTATCATATGCTGGGTTTTTTTTAATCCTCACCCAAGGATAATGCTCCATTAATTTTTAGAGAGAGTGGAAGGGAGGAGTAGAGAAAGAGAGAGAGGAGCATCGATGTGAGAGAGACACATCGATGGATTGCCTCCCGCATGCAGCCCCAGGGCTGGGGATAGAGCCTGCAACGGAGGTACGTGTCCTTGACCGGAACTGAACCCAGGACCCTTCAGTCTGCAGACTGACCCTCTATCCACTGAGCCAAACCAGCTAGGGCATATGCTGATTTTTAAAATCTATTTAGATCTGTTTTTGAGCTTTTTATTTACTTTTGTTTATCTCTCTGCTCTTATATCAGCATCTAACTGCTTTAAATACTACAGCTTTACACTGTGTTTTAATCGGGATCTTTATTTTGAGAGTCCCTGGTTCCCCCGAGTCCTGAGCAGGGGAGGGCTGGGGAGTAGGTGCCAGGACGTGCCAGGCACTGTGCTCATCATAACAGCCACGACCGTCACTGATTGGGCACTCACTCTGTGTGTCGGGCACGTGCCACACAGTATCGCATGTACTCCTCGTAATAATCCTGTTCGCCTGATGTTCGGCCCACTTTTAGAAATTACACCACTCGCATGTAGTGAGCATTTACTACTTTAGTGCCAACCACTGTGCTAAGCACCTCCCTTGTACTTTCTCATTTATCTTCCCCAGGACCCGTGGGGTCCGCACTCGCTCTCCCCGTTTCACAGCCCAGGAGCCCTGCTCCCAGAGGCCCACCTCCCCCTTAGGCAGCAGAGCTGGGATGTGCTGGTGGATGTATCCAGTGTGTCCCTGAGCCCCGGCCAACCAGCTGCTACCGAACCCAGATTCCAGCCCCCCACCCCCTGCCCCCAGGAGGCCAACCTGTGGCACCTTTGCGAGGCGGGGCTCCCACTCCTCTTGGGTGCCAGCACCCAGCAACGCTCACTGAACAAATGGATGCAACTCCCGTGCCCCTATCCTTCCCACTGTCCTCACACACCACAATCTCACCAGCACGGAGACCAAAGGCCGGTTCTCAGGACAGCGGCTGCCTCTGGGCCTCTGGGGGGCTTCTCCCTCCCAGTCAGGTGGGAGGAATGGCGGTCCGGCTGCTGGGATTCAGTGCTGTTCTTGTGGCTTAAGGACACGCGTGGGGGAGTCCCTCGGACAGTGGGCATTGCAGCCATGCTGCTGCGCACAATAGTGCCACCACAGCAACGGCAAAACTCATCATCAAAGTTTTAATTGCATGAGGGTTGTGGGGAATTTGTTTAATTTCCACTAGCAATTAAACGTTGCCATAAGGTGCTCTCAGCAACGACCCTTCAGAGACGCTGGCTGTGCCCAGCACCTGCCTGGCGGGGCAGCGGGGGGCAGGCGCCTGCGCAGTGAGGGCGCTCTCAGGGGTGGTTACACTGGGCCTCCCGCAGTGCAGCACGACCTCTGACCCAGGCAGAATGGGGTTTGGGTCCAGATCCACCCCCTCAACGCTACCCGACCAAGCAAACCCTATGGTCTCTGAGCCCAGTTTCTCTGTATAAAATGAAGATAGTGCCTCACCTGGGACGTTAGGAGAATAAACGCGAGGAAAACCGGGGACCTCTTCCCCTTCCCATCTCCCCAGGCAGGCAGGCCAGTGGCTGAAGGCCCCACCCCGGCTCAGCCTTATTGCTGCTTCTTATTGGAACATTTGTTTCCAGCCTGATGGGCTGGCATGACAAACCCGCAAAGGAAAACTTCATCCCGGGCCGGAACGAGATGGATCTGCCCGTCTCTGCCCTCACCACCTAGAAACCCATTCAGAGCTTGTTCCGGCTGGAGGGTGGTCAGAGCACTGCTGGGAGGGGCTAGACTGGCCCTGCAGGAAGAGAGAGGGGGGAGGGCTGCTGGCCAGCAGAGTGGACAGCCTGCCTCAGGCCTGAGCACAGCGGGGGCAGGAGGTGGTGGCCTGGTTGCCCGGCCCCTTAGAGAGAGCAGGGTAGGGCTGTGGGTAGAGGTGTCACCTGGGCACTACCTGGCCTGCCTGGCGTGCAGGGAGGTGTGCAGAGTGAGTGCCAGGGCTCGGGGGTGGGGGTTGGGGGGGCGTGTCTCTGGAGACTAAGTAGCCAGACACCAGACTTCGCTTAGTTTGTGGGAGCATCTGATGTGTATGAGATGGCCCAGATCCCCTCTGTCCCCAGAGACCTCTGTCCTGTGAAGTTCCCTCTAGTCTTCCATCAGGACTGGGCTTGCTTTCTCCAGAAGCGGCTGGGAGGGCAGCCCTGGTGACACCTAGAGGCTGGGGGCTCGGAGGCTGGGGCTGAGGGCAGGCCTCTGCCATGGGCTGGGGCTGAACCCCCCCTCACCTCTGCTTGCTCAGCCTGAAGGGCCATGTGGGCCTGGCCGGCAGGGGACACGCTGGCCTGGGCATCAGGCTTCCACAGGGACCTGGCTCCTCAGCCTCCTGCCCCTGTGGTCCAGGCAGCTCACCCTTCACTCCAAAGGTTGCTGGCAGGGCTGGGGGAGGCCTTGGCTGGGTCCTGCTGGGCCCAGGAGAGCCCGGACGCCTCAGTTAGGAGGGGTGTCTTCCCTCCTCACACCCTCCGTGGGGCTGAGCCTGGGCTTCAACCTCCACCTTGCTCCAGCTCCTCCCACCTCTCCACCCCCTTCTGTGTCTCTTGGTCCTTGGCTCTTCCTCCCTGGGTCTGTGTCCTCCTCCTGCCTCTGTCTCTCACTGTCCTCACTGTCTCTCGCTGTCCTCACTGTCTCTCGCTGTCCTCTCTGTCTCTCGCTGTCCTGTCTCTCGCTGTCTCTCTCGCTGTCATCTCTGTCTCTTGCTGTCATCTCTGTCTCTCGCTGTCATCTCTGTCTCTTGCTGTCATCTCTGTCTCTCGCTGTCATCTCTGTCTCTTGCTGTCATCTCTGTCCGTCTCTCGCTCTCCTGTCTCTCACTGTCATCTCTGTCTCTCGCTGTCATCTCTGTCTCTTACTGTCCTGTCTCTCGCTCTCCTGTCTCTCGCTGTCATCTCTGTCTCTCGCTGTCCTCCCTGTCTCTCGCTGTCCTCTCTGTCTCTCGCTGTCCTGTCTCTCGCTGTCCTCACTATCTCTCGCTGTCCTGTCTCTCGCTGTCATCCCTGTCTCTCACTGTCATCTCTGTCTCTTGCTGTGATCCCTGTCTCTCGCTGTCCTCCCTGTCTCTCGCTGTCCTCTCTGTCTCTCGCTGTCTCAGCTTCTTCCAGTCTGTGCCGTCTCTCTCCTGCTCCCCTTCCCTGCTCTGTCTGCCTCTCCTGCGCTCTCATCTCTTCCCATGGTCCCGGCCTCTCCCCCCGCTCTCCCTCTCAGACACACTGGGGCCCTTGGCCTGTCCAGCCACACCTGCTCTTCCCCTTCCAGATGGGTCTGGTGGTCATCCTGGTGTCCACGGTGGTGGCCATGTCGGCCATGGCCCAGCTGTGGGAGGACGAGTGGGAGGTGCTGCTCATCTCCCTGCAGGTGAGTGAGGCTGGGGGTGGGGTTTCCCTCAAACACTCAAAAGAAGGCAGCGTCTGTCTCTTTATCACATGATTTCCTCAGACCAAGACCCCGAGGGGGCCGGAGGGGTCCAGGTCACAGCAGGTCAGGGGAGGGAGGGTGACAGCCCAGGGTCCCTGATGCCCAGTGTCTCCGGGGGTGCCCTGCCCTGTGGACAGAGATGGGCCATCAGGGTGTTGGTGGCCAGAGGGTCTGGCATGGCTGGGAGTCAGCGGTGCCTTTGCCCCTCGCACACAAGGGCACAGCTCCGTTCCTGCACATGGGGGCCCTGGCCGCCATCACCGCGCTCTCCTGGATCGTGGCAGGACAGTTCGCCCGGGCAGAGCGGTCCTGTAAGTACGACTGGGCAGGACCTGCCCCCCAACCCCGCCCTCCCCTAGATGTGTCCTGGGTGCCCTGGGAGGAGTGGGGGGGGCCTTGCTCTGGGCATGGCCCTGGGGTCCATGGAGGACTGCAGCTCCAGTCAGTGGTGCCCACTTCCTCGTCTGCATCTGCATCTGCGTCTGTGTGTGAGTCAGAGGCCAGGGTCCCCTCCCCTGGGGTCCATGGAGGACTGCAGCTCCAGGCAGCGGTGCCCGCTTCCTCGTCTGCATCTGCGTCTGCGTCTGTGTGTGAGTCAGAGGCCAGGGTCCCCTCTCTCTGGTCACGATGGGGGCTGCCCTTAGTGCAGGGTCTCTTCAGAGCATGTGTGTCCTGACACTGGAGGGGACGGGGGTCTCCCACAACCTGCCCAGGGCTCATGGTCGGGCCTGATGGGAGCTGAGCGCTCACGGGCGGTGCTCTCGCCGTGCCCACAGCCTCCCAGATGGCCATCCTCTGCACCTTCTCCGCCGTGGTGTTTGCCCTCTACCTGGCCCCTCTCACCATCTCCTCTCCCTGCATCATGGAGAAGAAGGACCTGGGCCCCAAGCCCGCCCTCATTGGCCACCGCGGGGTCCCCATGGTGAGTGCCCCTGAAGGCCTGACAGGGGAGGGGCGGGAGCAGAGCTGCCGTTCTAGAGGAGATGAGCAAAGACCTCTGTCCTTGTAGGGAGGGACTTGCAGGAAAATGAGGAAGATGCATGGAATGAAATACTACAATCTTCAGCCTTCGGAGGGAATGAGGGAAGGGCTGATGAGAGGCTGAGAGCTGGTGGGTTAGGAAGACCTGGGAGAGGGCTGCCTGCAGGCTGTGGCCGGGCTGTGGGGCAGGAGAGGCGGGCGCAGCCCAGAGCCCACTGCCAAAGGGAAGACTGCCCCAGCTGAACTGGGCAGCAATGGAGAGAGGAAGGAGTCCGAGTCAGCGGCAGCCCCTCTACTGACGCCCTGTGACCCCGCAGGGGCCTCCCCTCGAGTGGGCGTCCTCCAGAGCCGGCTTCCTCCACCCCCTGGCGGCTCTGGGAGCCCGGCTGACTCCATCTTCTCTGGGCCAGTTTCCTCATCTTGTGCCCTGAGATACCGAGAGCCTAGGCCGAGGGCCTGTGAGGCAGGACACACACAGCACGTGGGAGGTGCCCAGCTGTGAGCCTGGGAGACACCCCTGTTACCTTGGGAAGCCCTCCCCCTTCTCTGGGCCAGGGTTTCCTCTCCTTGAACCTGGGTTCTCTGCAGAGGGAGTACCGCTCCCCCCCTCAGTGGGGACTTAAGCGAGAGCTTTTTCTTGGCTGTCACGGTGACTGGGAGGTCCGTAGTGTTGAATTTCAGGGGAGCCCAAGGGCCCTTCCACCGAACCCCACTCTGGTCACGGTACCTTCTGGAGGCAACGAGCTAGACAGGCCATGGCTTTGGAGTCAGAGGGATCTGGTTTGGGGTCTGGTTTTGCCATGTGCTCTTGTGTGTGTCAAGGGTCACCTGTCCCCTCTGAGCCTCATGCCCTGTCTATGGAGAGAGAGAGACGCACAGCCTTCCCAGACCGAGGGTGCTGAGGGAGGGGAGGGGCCGGGGAAGGAGCAAGGTGGCCCAGCCTGGATTATTATTTCAGTAGAAAATGTTCAAACAATCACAGACATGGAAAGAGTGATATAATGAAGAATAAACAGAGTAATGAATCCAGTACCACCTTCAACATCCATCCGTGCTTTGTTATTCTTATTTCATCTTTCCCTACTTTTCTTTTTTCTACTGTAATATTTTATTTTATTTTTAATCTTTTAAAATTTTTATTGTTGAAAACTAGAGGCCCGGTGCATGAAATTCATGCATGGGAGAGGGGTCCCTCAGCCCCTTCTGCATCCTCTCGCAATCCTGCCTGCCTGATCGCCCCTAACTATTCACCTGCCTGGCTGATCGTCCCTAACCACTCGCCTACCTGCCTGATTGCCCCTAACCCCTCGCCTGCCTGCCTGCCTGATCGCCTCTAACCGCCTCTGCCTTGGCCCCCGCCGCTGTGGCTTCATCCAGAAGGCTGTTCGGCTGTCCAGTCTAATTAGCATATTATCCTTTTATTATTATAGATATTACATATGTCCCTTTTTTCCCCTATCGACCCAATCCAGCCCACTCCCATCCCCACCCCCAGCCCCAGGCCTTCACCACCCCACTGCCTGTGTCCATGGGTTATGCACATATGCATACAAGGTCTTTGGCTGATTACCTCCCACCCAGCCCCTCTCCCCTGCCTTCTGAGATCCCACACACACAGTAATATTTTAAACCAGATCTCAGACGTGGTATAATTTAGCCATACTTCAGGGTGCATCTCTAACCATAACACATAAGGACTTCTTTCTTTTTTTAACATGACCACAACCACAATGCTGTTGTAACACCTAACCAATTAATAATGTTGAACCCGTGCTCGCTTTTCCTTTATCTCAGAAATATCTGTTTACAGTTTAGTTGTTAAAAATCAGAATCCACTGGGGTCCAGCCAGCGCATCTGGCTGACCTCTCTTCTGAGTACATTTAGTTGTTTAGTTGCTGTTTAGTTGTTGAAGAAACAGTCATTTGTCCCGTGGAATTTCACACATTGTGCCTTTTCTTGGGGTGTTTTCTGAGGGGCTGGCAAAGGCATCGGCACAACTCTGTGTGTTGCTGCGATACCCGTGCACAGCCCCCTGTGGGAGGCTTTGACTCGGTCCACACATCTGGGTGTGATAAGCCCAAGGGCACATCCCTGTCTTGGGGACGGTGCCCATATGCCCTTCCTATGCGAGTGCCCGACTGTATGTGCACACATGCACACTTTAATATTTGGTTGGACTAACTCCAAAGCTTGGACTTTTAGCCACAGTGGCCTGCCCACTTGAGTTTGTGACACGCCTCCCCCCGCAACCTACCCCCCCCCACACACACACACACACTCCTGACAGCAGAACCACACGTGGGCTTAGGCCAGAGGCATTGAGAGCCCCAAGATGGGGATTAACAAGTCACCTGAGTGCCCACATACTTCTGGGGGTCCTCCTGGAGTCCCAGGACTGGCCAGGGAGGGCCAGCTTTCCATGCCTTTTCTCTAGGAGGCCAGCACTTAGCACAGGGAGAGCCGAGTTGAAAAAAGCCTCGAGAAAGAGACTTTGCCCCTTCCAAACACTTCCTCGGGCCACCCACAGTCTCCCTCTGCAGCCCCAGCCCGAGCAGGAGAGAGCAGTGGCCCATCCTGGGTGGTCACTCATGGAGACCTGGCCACAGGACCCTCGTGCTCTCTCCAGACGCCTCTGTGGCCCTGCCCCACCTCTGGGCGAGGCCTCACACAGCCCATTTCCCTGGGAGACAGGGCTGCTCCTCACCAGGGAAAGGGGGAGAAAGAAACTCAAATGATAGAGCCCACTGATGTCTGTTATACCACCCATGAGCTTGATAATATTAGCCCATTTTACAGCTAAAGAAACTGAGGTTCCAAAAGGGGAAGTGATGGCCCAGGACTGGGAAATGGTATTGCGCCTTCTCAGCTCCCAAGCCCTTTCCGCCCCAGGCTACCTCCCAGGCGAGGGCCGGGTGCTCCATGTTGGGGAACCGCACGGCCAGGGGGAGAGAGAATGGGAATGACCTTGTCTTGGTGGGAATGAGATCAGCCATGGGGACCCTTTCCACCTCATCCCTTCGTAGCCAGGAGCCCTCCCTGGTCTTCCTTGTGCTGCTCCTGCTCCCGCTCCTAGCGCCAGTGATGGTGAACCTATGACACGCGTGTCAGAGGTGACACGTGAACTCATTTTTTTGGTTGATTTTTCTTTGTTAATGGCATTTAAATATATAAAATAAATATCAAAAATATAAATCTTTGTTTTACTATGGTTGCAAATATCAAAAAATTTCTATATGTGACACGGCACCAGAGTTAAGTTAGGGTTTTTCAAAATGCTGACACGCCGAGCTCAAAAGGTTCGCCATCACTGTACCTAGCCCAACCCTTGGTGTGGTGCTGACCCCCAGTGGCAGCAAAGGGTATGACAGAGTCCTCAAACCAGGAACTAGGGAAACTTAAAACCTCCACTCTTCCAAATAGAAAGAGCCTTAACGAAGAGTGAATATGCTCTCTCAAGGGGAACGTGGGGTCTATGAGAGAAATGGATGCACCACCCAAGGCCACACACTGGTTGACGGTAGAGTCAGAGCTAGAACCAGGCTCTTCCGATGTGGATGCTGTAAGGTTAGCAGTTGTCACTCGTTATTGTGTATCAGCCAACATGCTGGGACTTTCAACCCAGGTAGCAGTCAGGAGATGGTCTTGTCGCCTTCTGCACAGAGGAGAAGACCAGCCGCCCCCTGAAACTGCTGCCGATCGACCCTCCTCCTCTCGCTCTGGGACCTCTACCTGGACTCGAGGGATAACGGGAAACTTGGCATTCACCCCCCACCCCGGCCCAAGACTGCCATAGGCAGAGGACTGTACCCCCACATTTATATACACCAACCCTAACCACCCCTGCTTCCCACTCCCACCCAGAAAGCCTGCGGGGCAGGCGCGATTTAACAGAGGAGGCGGCTGAGCCTGTCACACAGTATTGCCTGGAGGAGTTGGAGCGAGAACCAGGCCCAGCATAGATCTGCCCTTGGCTGGGGAGGTGCACGTGAGCTGAATCTCAGCTCTCCCCTCACTACCCCCTTTCCCGGCAGCTGGCCCCAGAGCACACGCTGATGTCCTTCCGGAAGGCCCTGGAGCATAAGCTGTACGGATTGCAAGCCGATGTCACCATCAGGTAGGCGCTGGGTTGTGAGGATGGTACCACCCCCCACATCGGGGTCCCCAATGGGGAAACCGCAGGTCCCAGAGCCTCGGAGATGGGAGGGCAGAGGCTCGGATTATCCACTGCAGGGCAGGCACCGTGTTCGTGACATTAAATCTTGTGCCAAATTCCAGAACAGAGGCTCTTGGTTGAAGCAGGGCTGGGGGTGGGAGCTGGAGTCCTGCCACAGAGCCGCTTGAAGGACAGACTAAGGACTAGGGCTCAGACAGATGGAGCCAAACACTCTGATAAGGGAAATGCGCACATTGCAGACTATACACTCACTGTGGTGTCAATTATATTTTAAAAGACCACATTAGAATGACTTACACAGCCCTGGCCAGTGTTGCTCGTTGGTTAGAGCAGTGGCCTGCGCACCGAAGGGTCTCAGGTTCGATTCCCAGTCAAGGACACGGACCTGGGTTGCAGGTTTGATCCCAGACCCTGGTGGTGTGTGGGAAGCAACCAGTTGATGTGTCTCTCTCACATCAATGTTTCTCTCTCCCTCCCTTCCACTATCTCTAAAAAGTAATGGGAAAAATATCCTTGGGTAAGCATTAATAGCAACCAAAAACAAACAAAAAACCCTAAAATGACTTACACATTTTCTACATGTAGATATATGTGCGTATTAGTATAAAGGACAGGAACAACCCACCAATGGGGAAACCGCAGGTCCCAGGAGCCTTGGAATGGGAGGGCAGAGGCTCGGATTATCCACTGCAGGGCAGGCACCGTGTTCGTGACATTAAATCTTGTGCCAAATTCCAGGATATAAAACAGAGAAAAGAACAGAGGCTCTTGGTTGAAGCAGGGCTGGGGGTGGGAGCTGGAGTCCTGCCACAGAGCCGCTTGAAGGACAGACTAAGGACTAGGGCTCAGACAGATGGAGCCAAACACTCTGATAAGGGAAATGCGCACATTGCAGACTATACACTCACTGTGGTGTCAATTATATTTTAAAAGACCACATTAGAATGACTTACACAGCCCTGGCCAGTGTTGCTCATTGGTTAGAGCAGTGGCCTGCTCACCGAAGGGTCTCAGGTTCGATTCCCAGTCAAGGACACGGACCTGGGTTGCAGGTTCGATCCCAGACCCTGGTGGGGGAGTGTGTGGGAAGCAACCAGTTGATGTGTCTCTCTCACATCAATGTTTCTCTCTCCCTCCCTTCCACTATCTCTAAAAAGTAATGGGAAAAAATATCCTTGGGTAAGCATTAATAGCAACAAAAAACAAAAAACCCTAAAATGACTTACACATTTTCTACATGTAGATATATGTGCGTATTAGTATAAAGGACAGGAACAACCCACACCCGTCTCATGACAGACCTCTGAGAAGGGGGAGGGGCAGGGCTGCCACGTACGGCTGCACGGGGAGTGTACTGAGGGCACCACTTACCTTCCCAGTGTAGACATCCTGGCATTATATATTGATCCAAACTTGGGGTAGGCCTGGATGGTGGGGGGTAAAGCTTGCTGAAAGGGTCTGCGTTTGCACTGTTCTCATTAAGCATCTCACGGACTGGGTTCTGAGCCAGATTCCACCACTTACTGGCTGTGGGTCTGGAGCTAGGTACTTCCCTCTCCCGGCCTCAGTTCCCCCTTTATCAAATGAGGTTGCACCTACCGCCCGAAGTTGTAGGCCCAGTCTTCCCTCGTCAGCAGTCCCCACCCCCACTCTGACCTTCATAGAGAACTTGAAGGAGTCGCCCACCAGCCTACTGCCTTCCCTGTGCAGGCGGGGAACCTGAGGCCCAGAGAGGGGCAGAGCCTGCAGGGTCCCCTGGCGAGTTGGTGTACGTGGGTGGGGGGCAGGGGTGATTACTGAGGGCAGGTGAGGGCCTGGGTGGGCAGTGACTCCGTGGCCCGCCCCCCTGCAGCCTGGACGGTGTGCCCTTCCTCATGCACGACACCACGCTGCGGCGCACCACCAACGTGGAGGAGGCGTTCCCGGAGCTGGCCCACAGGCCCGCCTCCATGCTCAACTGGACTGTCCTGCAGAGGCTCAACGCCGGCCAGTGGTTCCTGAAGGTCTGGTGGTGGCACCTGCCCCGGTGCGAGTGTGGAAAGCGTGGGTGGGGACCCCGTGCAGTGAGAGCGGGGCGGCCATCAGCTCAGGGGACCCCACTCCCCAGCGTCCCTCACAGCGGCTTGCTAGCGGCCCCCTTGGGCTCTTGCCTCTGCAGCCCTGAGACCGTGGTTGTCACTGCGTGTGCTGGTCTGTCCCCCTCACCAGGAAACTGATGGTGACAATAGTTTAAAATGGTCAACTCGGTAACACTCCAGAGAGGAAAGTGGTTTCTCTGGTCTGAAATGTTCCAAGGAGAAGTGTGCTGGGGTCTGGGAGATGTTCCAAGCAAATAATTCTTTTGGTGAGCAGGGTGTGGGGGGGAGAGGTGAGGG